ATATTTGCTAACCAAATTAGGACCTACTTCCTTCCTTTTTTGGAATACAACTTATTATTACAACGGCCAATCACAATAAACAACACTATGAAATTTAGATCATCTGATTGCTAACAACTTTGTATCGTGATCTGTATATATTGATAATAAGTCAATACATTATATTAATTTTTTACAAAAAATTTAGTAAGAATTTATATACAGTACTTACCAATAAAAAACCTCACTCTATATGTGATATTATTATCAATGTTGAGTTTAACGTTTGGATAGTATCCTTTACCTAGAAAGATATTTATTAATATATAATTAACATATTTAAATATTTAAATTCATTGAATTTAATTACCATCATAAGGATAAAAATTATGAAGACGAAATATTCTACAGTAACTAATATATTCTTTGTGAAAACTAAATAGTAGCCTGCAAAGTATAATTAGTGCTTCAATTAAGCTTGCAAAATAAAATAAAGCGTATAGACTTTTTGAACGTTTTCGTATTGCTACGAAAACAATTGAAATTGGAATAATTGTAATAATGCCAAATATATTATAAAATATTTCAATTGTATTTTCAAATGAATCTTTCTTATAATAATATGTTACTGTTAATTCCCTTTGAAAAATCTCTGATATTTCTGATATCAATATCCAAATTCCAAGAAATGAAGTCGTAATTAGAAGTAAAATCCTCTCAAGTCGATAAATAATATAGGTGCCTACATCCAGAATAGAAATAAATTAATATAATGATAGAATTAATAGAATTAAAAAAGGACTTAATTATAAAATAACATACTTTTCTTCAATTTAGGCTTACGCTCCCCGAACCATTCCCAAGACCTAATAAAAATTATCGATAATTTTAGTTATAAATCACCACTTATTTTTTTTTTAAATAAATATAAAAAAAATTACCCAATCATTAATAAAATACAAAATACTATAAAAATAAATTGAAAAATTCCCAAAGTTATTATCACGGGTATAAATTTTGGTATATAATACTTTGATGTATTTTCATTTATTTCATTTATAATTTCGTTTTTATTATTATCATAGTCAAATATTTTTCTTAAATTCTCATTATTTGTTCCATCGCTTAATTTGCTTAAATCACTATCAGCAATAGCTTATCATGTAGTAAAAAGACACAAAATTAATAACCCATTTTTTTCATTCAAAATTAATATTTATGCAACTGTTAAAAATATTTACCATAGTAATAATCAAATTTAAAGATATTACAAAGTATTAATATAAATGGAGCAAGGTTTATGATTAAAAATGATATAACATGTATTATGGTTCTATGAAAGACCGCAGAGAAGCCACTTAAAAAAACGAATGGAAGTGTGGACCATAATGAGAATTTAGAGTTTACAAGAAAAAAAGAGTAAATAAAAAGAAAAATAATTTCGAAAATAATTATAAGATTAAATATAAAATTTAATCTTCTTTTAACGTTCAACATGTTTAAAATTGTAGTGCCTCAAAGAATTGTATTATCTAATTTATAATATGTACGATTACTAAAAAACTCGACGATATCACATATCACATATCACATAATTTTTACAGTATTTATATAGCAACTTATCAGCAGACGAAGTTTGTTTATTCAAAATGGTATTCGCGGAAAATAAACAATCAACTGAGCCTTATTCTTTTATTTTTTTAAAGAAATTATGCTCTTTTTCATTTATAATTATACTTATTTACTATACTTATGATCAGTTTTCACAATTTTCTAATTCAATTTCTAAACCAAATCTTATTTTCCGTAAACAACATGTAAGAGAAATATTAAATACCGCCAAAAACATCAATATTACTATAGAAATTTGTGGTACCGATAATTGTACTTATACTTACAATAATAACAATACCGATTGGAAAAAATGTGTAGCAGCTAATGAAGTTCCATTTGAAGTTTTAAGTGATAATGTTAGTGTTCCTGATTGTTTTCGTTATTCTTTTGACTATCAAGAACGTATAAATATAGAAGTACCTCCTATCACTGCGGTTCATTTAGATGGACTTGAATAGACCAATATTATTATGCTATATCTAGTAGTCCTTTATTTTTTATAAACAATACAACTACGACCATATATTATTCACCTACAATTATAAAACAAATATCTGATAAGTATGTATATGGTCTTGCGGGTGGAAAGAGCAAAGAATATGTTGATTTTAATGTACATACGGATATGACACCTTTAATCACTCCAAATGTAACAACGTTTGTATTAAGACCAATATCAATGAATATTTATTATCAAGAAGAAACTTATTATGATCGTAATTATCAAATTATTTTTTAATTTTTTAGAGAAAATTATTTTAATTTTAAAATATTAATAAAAATATTTATCACTTTTTTAGTTGGTTCGATTATATCGAGTATTGGTGGATTCTTCAGTTCCTTATCTGGAATCTTTGTATTTTTATTTGGAGCATCTAAATTAGCACCATGGTGAGTTAAATCATTATATATAATTCGTAAATACACAGAATTTATAATAATTTATTTATTTCGATAGGGGATTTTTGCAAATATATGTATTTAATTGCCTATGTATAAGATATCAAAGAAAACTTGCAAAGAAGCTTAAAAGTAAATACGAACCAATTCCATTCATTAGTGGAAGAACTAAAAATTTTACTTTAGAAGAGCGTATTCAAAGTATGGAAAATTTGCTTGAAGAATATTATCTTGATACGAATTTTTTGAATTTATTAATAGAAGAAAATAATGTTGATGATAAAGTCTAGATTATTACTGCGGCATAAAATTTCTTGAATATCACCTAATAAATTACAAATTACAATTATTAATTGTTTGTTATTGTAATGACTGTATGAGCTTTACTAAAAATAACTTTTTGACGTAATTTATTATTCAGTAAATTTACAATCAGAATTTAGGCGGTCCGGAGTTTTTAATCCACGAAGTCGAATCTCATAATGTCTGGCAAATTATAGTGACCAATCAAGGGACGTATACATCACGTGATCGCACACGGTAGTCTTCCTTTAACGTTTGAGAGTTAAGTTGTTTGACATTTAAGGTTACTGTGAAATTCAAATGATTTGCTGTTATTGTCAAACAATGGTCAAATCCTTTGAAACAGTTTAACTTTACAGTCAAACCCTTTGCCTCAAACAGTTTTACGAAGTGGAAATAATTTCCCTTATTTAGTTAAAATTCAAATTGTGTAAATTTAAAGTAATTCTATAAAGAAATTCTCTTTTTTGAAATTCCAAAAAGGAGGTATGTTTCCTTTTTAGGAAAATTATTTTTCAAATTAAAAGGATTTGCATTTAATGATAAACACATTACAATTAATGCAAAATGGTTTGTATTTAACGCCAAACAATATGTTGTTTAATGAATGATCTGGCATTAACCATTTAAAGGATAGCAGCCATGTTCGTTCCCGTGATCATAAGCCAATCATAATGTCTGTCTATTCATAGTTTACGTATACATCACGTGATCGCACACGGCTTTAGACATTCACTTGATTCTTTTTCCTTTTTTTTTTTTTTTTTTTTTTCGNGACCCTTATTCCGACTCTGACCATTTTTTTTTTTTGCTAAAGAAACATACTATAGAAACTACTTTTCCTACATATAAACCTGGTCTAAATCGTGATTTTTCGGACTCTATACTCTTGTTTACATTATTTACATGAGTAGAAACACTCGTTCCAAGTTTTCTCAAAAAATTCTAAAAAATATTGAAAAAACATATCATTCTACTACCGACAAAGAAGACATATATAGAACTTTCGCTCCTAACGTTAATAATAACAGAAATAGAAAAATGTCGAATATAACCACAACTAACAACAAAAATAGTCATAAGACAGCCGAGCCTGCTTTGACTTCACATTCTCAAACTTCCTCCTCCGTGGAGCAAGTCCCTGGGAATAATTCTTTAATAACACGTGACTCCACTCCCCATTTACCAAATGCACCAATCGTTGAAACGGTTGATGAAATGGAAATAGAAGTTACCAATAATAATGAAACACAACAACTTTCAGAAGGATCTACATCCATTAATGGCAATCCACCACCAATGGAGGAAATTCCCATGATCGACAACATATTTTCAGCCTCAAATACACAAACACAAACTTCTTTTGAAGGGTTTATCCCACGAGATAGTTTTCCACCAAAACTTACAGACAAAGAAATTTTACAAAAACTCAATACCATCTTTATCGGAGACAAAGAATTTATCAAAGTCAGATCTCTTAAAAAGATGACGTTCAAATTTTACATGATATCTGTGTCGACTAAGGAGAAATTGTCACACCTTATCAAAACATCACCTCCAACCCTTCCTAACGTTAAAATTTATGAATATACACAACACAATATAGATACCCTAATTGAACGAAAACTTCAATTACAAGATGACACCATCATCAAAATATTAGATATCCCTGTCAATTACGATGTCACGTTATTAATAAAACAAATAACTGATGCAACGGGAAAACGAATCACAACTTACAAAGAAACCAAGAAACCACCTCAAAGAATCCAAAACCGCAACAAAAATGATAAACCAATTTTTATCAAACCAATTTATAAACAATTAATAATCAGCTTTGAGGACAAAGCTGCGGCAGATTACTTGTTAGAACAAGACTGGTGCTTAGCCATTGAGGACTCAGTAGCCAGAATCTTACCAGGCAATCCAAAACATCCGATATACACACAACGAACGTCAGCTTTCTATAAAATCACTGGTCTACCTTTAAACACGAACGCAAAAGATTTAAGCCCTTTAGTTGAACATCTAAAGGGACGTACGTGTACATTTACCCAAACCTCACGCTCATCATTTTTCAAAAACGCATTCATATATGTTCACCCGAATGACGTTAAAAAGGATTATACCACAATTACGGGTACAAAATTTGGACAACATACAATTTTCATCTTCCCCCATACCAATACCAAAAAAACTTGCAATGCATGTGGAAATCATACACACGAATATAAAAATTGCACTAGTACCGATTTCACCCTAGACAAAAATGAACGTAAAATTTTCAAAAGACGTTTCATCACACGTAACAAAGAACGTATTCTTATCAACGAAACAACCAGACAAAATTATAATCACGTCATAAGACTCTCCAAAGACAATCCTGGTAATTCAACTGTACAATCTCGCCCTCAACTGACCACACGAGGCAAACAAAAACAAACTTATAACAACACTCCGAGTCACCCGGATAGGACGCATCAGAAGTCTACGTCGTCCTGGTCCCAACAACAACTCCCTCAAGAAATCTTAGACAAAATTGCGCATATGGAACAACAAATTACTACCTTAACAAATCACGTTAGCGTATTACAAGGTTCCCACCAAACATTCACGGAACAATACTCTTCACATCATCAACAATTAACCACAATTGACACTAACATAGCGTTGCTTACACATAGACAAGATAGTCTTGAAAATCAACATAAAACCTTAATGACCCAGATGCAAACGCTCATTAACACTCTACAAGCATCACAAACGCCATCCTCCCGACAACAACCAGCCAGAAAAGCTAAACGTACTAATACCCCATATGAAAAAACACCTTTGAAGGATGTGAAAAAACGGTTTATCCAACCATCCTCTGAATCGGTTATGACTGACAGTGATGCACTCCCACTTTCAGACGAATATTACACTGAATCTGGAGATGTCTCCGATACGGGTACCATTGAAAATACATATGAAGCGGCTGAACAAGAAATTTCAGGACAATCAAGCTTCATCCTTAACCCATTTAATTGGGGCAATAAACCCCAGGTTTAATTTGTGATTCATTCTTTATAATCATAAAGAAAATAGATATACCTTTTTGATTCCCCTTATTGTTTTCATCCCAACTTCTGGTTTACATACATTTCAATTTTATATAAAAATTTTAAATAATGTCATACAACAACTTAAATATATCCGATCCCTTTCCTAATATTTCATGCTCTTTATCACAAAACCCTGATCACTTGATTAATGAAGAACATATTACAAATTTACACGTGATCAATCAAGATAACATCAATGATAATAATTTCTTTATTGACTATATTAAAATAGGCAGTATTAATATTCAAACAGCCTTTAACAACAAGCTTAACGACATTATTAATTATTTTGTCGTACACAATTTTGATATCCTTGGTTTAGCAGAAACTAGTCTCTTTGGAGATCAATCAAATATTATTATCAACAAACATAAACATCCTACTTTACCTAATAATTTTATACATATAGTTCACGACACCTCTGGCGCTAATAAAGGCACTGGAGTGGCTATCATGATTACTGACAAAATGGAAAAACATCTTCATCATACAGAATTTTCAGAAGGACGTATCATCAATCTTATCTTCGGTTTCAAGAAATCAAAACAACTGAACGTAACTTGTTGCTACTTACCATCCAGTCCTAAGAATGATGTCACCAAAACCAAAATCAGCGCTGCCTGCGTCGATAAATTGAACAAATTTATTATTAAATCCAACAACACAAAAAATTCATACGCCATTGTTATCGGCGATTTTAATGTGACCACAAAGAATAAATCAGATCCGAATTATCCTTTCATCCGCTTACTTAAAAATAACGGATACAAAGATATGATTAAATATCATCAAGAATCCTTAGATAACAAATTCACCCATAGTACAAATAGAATCGATTACCATTATGGAAATAGGAATTTATTAGAACAATCAATTCATTCATACACACAATCGATACCACAATCTTTCTTTAATACTGATCACAAAATTGTTATAACCCTTTTAGAAAAAACTTTTTTCGATTCAAGAAACAAGGATTTATTTGAAAAGTTCATGAACGTCCTTCCTTTTAATAAACGGAATGATGAAGTTAAGAAAGTCTTCAAATACGATCGAATGACCGTTGAATTATGGTCCTCTTATACGAATCGTAGTCGTTCAACCTTCAAATATAGATTTTCCAAGGAACCTCAACAAATTAATAACAAAAATACTTTAAACCGGCAATGGGACCTCTTTGAGAAATGCTTAATTGAACTCAAAGAACATATTATACCACAAAAATCTATTAATTTTAATACATCATCAAACCTAGATTTGCCTCTTGAATTACGACAAATGAATAATCACGTGATTCTATTATATCAAGTGAAACAATTTTTAAATTTAAAACATATTAAAATTCGTTTTAAATTATACTTCACACCCACACTTTCAACCCTCCACAACATTCCACGACACGTATGGGCCACCTATTATGAAGGATGGATGAAATACCTCCCTCGATTAAAAATTTTAATAGATTTTAATAAATTATCAATCACTTTACCATCAACGGTTACTCCTGATAATTTTGTATCAACAAAGGATGAAATTTATAGATTATATCATACGATGAAAATAGCTTACCAATCTGCGTACGATAAATACCTTACCAACAAAATTAGTTCTTATGTCACAGAACGCAAAGACAATTTACAACATGATCAAACAAAAATGATTAACTCTATTTTAAATCGTAAACCACGCCGTATAGTGTTGGACAGACTTTCTTTCATCGACAACAAAGGTGAACAGGTATTTACTAATAACCCAGAGATTATAGAAAAAGAAGCCATCAAACATTTCCAATACCAAGCGGGGCCTCCAAATGAAAAGAATATTTGGAATTTAGACTCCCTACCACAAGATTGGAAAGATCATTATGATCCTGCTTTACAAAATATTGATGAAGAATGGTGGAATCATTTAACTGAACCAATCACTCTTTTGGACCTTTCCTCCATTTTCAAAAAATTGAATAACAACAAAGCGCCAGGTCCTTCCAAAATCACATAAGAAGATATCACACATTTACACGAGGACATTTTAATGATCCTCGTCAAAATCTTCAACGCTTGCATTACACTTAAAGTGATTCCGGATAAATGGAAACACGCGTTGCTTTTTCCGATACCGAAACCACATGATTGGAATAGTAAACTAACTAACACAAGGCCTATAACTCTCCTGGAAACTCCTAGGAAATTATTAGTCAATATTATTTCAACTAGATTAAATCAAGCCCTTTCCAAACACCCAATTTTACAATTCAACAACAAAGCGGGCATTCTGGGCCAATCAACTTTAGAGCCGCTTATGATTACACAACACTTAATAGAACATGCGCGCATTAAGAAAAAACCCATTTGGATCGTATTACAAGATTTATCAAAAGCATACGATCGCGTCGACCTACGATTATTGAAATTGGCGCTTAAACGCTTAAAGATTCCTGATATTATTATTACTTTTTTTCTTAATTTATTTACAGAAAGACATAATGAAATCATAACCACGAATGGTTTACTGCCATCTTATGCAGTTCTCCAAGGCATTGACCAAGGCGAAGTTGTTTCACCACTTCTCTGGAATATATACTATGACCCGATGTTTCATCGCATCAATCAATTAACACATTTACATTACTCCACCTTTGCGACACAAAAGAAAAATTGTCAACATATAGAGAATGATGTCATTCATACCTTTGACATCTCCGTAGTAGGTTATCTCGACGACACTACGTGGTTTGGCTCTTCACAATTGCAAATCGAAGAAAAATTATCAATTGCCAATTCCTTTTATGACCTCAATAACATTAAAGTTAATATGGATAAATACAAAATCCTAACTAATGACCGTACCATCAAACAACCGAATATCATCCTCACAATTAATAATCGGCCATACGCAACACCTGTCACGCCTCGTAACAAAAGTGAACGTATATTAGGTTTATACATTAATGCATTAGACAAATATACGCAAACGATACGAAAAGGCAAACAAATAGTGATGGCTCACTACAACACTATGAAAAACAAAAAATTAACACATCACCATATACAATATATTATTAACAAAATAGTTATACCAAAATTGGAATATATTTTCCAACATACGATCCTTAATTCGAAACAATGTCAATCTTTAATGGGACCATTGAAAAGATTATTCAAACAACGTTTGAATCTTCCGTCAAAAACGGCGGATAATATTATTTATAACCATATGTTCCAATCTATTAATAATTTTTTTGATATCCAAATGAAATCACAACTAAATATTTTAGGTGCACTTTTTAATACACCGGTACTTCGAGAAATAGCGACTCAGAAAATATATAACACGCTATCGGAAATCTGGTATCCTACTATTCCGTCCAACATTAATACCTATTTGGACCATATAGTCAAGCCTACCTATTTAACGCAAGCTTTAGGCTTGCTTAATCAATATGGATTTTCAATTAATTACACTTTTGATATTAACATTTTAGGAGGAAATACCCCTATACGAGATTATATGTCAGATCTTTCTGCCACTGACATTAAATCTCTTAAAGCTAAGAACATCATTTACATGGATCAAGTCGTTTCATCAGACGGGAACTATTTACTCTCGTGGCATGATGTTAAAAGAAATAATAATAACAATTATAGTGGTCCAATCCCGGCATGGTACAAAAATTTAACCGACAATTACGTACTTAGTAACAACTTACGTCTGATCCACCCTCTTAACGATGTTGTATGTGACATTAATAGAACACATAAATCCCCTCCAACTCTACCAGATGTTACAACACCTAAATCACAATGGACGATACATTGGAATAATGTACAAAAACAAGTTATCTTTGGAAAGACCTTAACACAGGAAACAGATCGTTCAACTTCAATTTCTTATTTACAACATTTTATACCCCAACAAACCCATCATAATAATAGTTTAACACCTAAAAAACAATTACTTGGACTTATTGCGTGCAAGGGTTGCCTTTTACACTCTTACTATCCACACGACGCTCGTCAGACATGTGTTATCGCAATTAGAACACAAAAATTATTATTATTTAATATTTTTAAAAAATCTTCCTTTGAACACAAATCACTTTTAGAATTTTATAATCGTCAGAATTTCGTAGTAGCTACGAAACCTTTTCATACGCTTAGGCATATTGCATACGAACATTTTATTAAAATAGATAAATCCCCTTTGAATACCTCTTCACAACGTCCTTTGGACACTATTCTTACACCTTATCCCTCTTTACTTTCAAATAATATAGATAACCATATAGATCACGCTCTAATTTGTCATCCAGACCTTAAAGAAGAATTAAAATTTGGTGCAAAACAATTAGAATTAGAAAATTTATTAACCTTTTATACAGATGGTTCTGTCCAACATATTGGTACAACTCATAGTATTAGTGGATACGGATGGACCCAAGTTCAACCCTTCATGCCGCGAGTCAAGTTCAGTGGATCTACAGTCTTCTTCCCATCGTCTTCCAAAAGCGAAAGCATGGGTATACTCACGGCCCTTATTGTATCTCCTTTCAACTGTAAAATCAATATTTACACCGATTCAGCCAACTGCATTACCATTTTTAACACGCGTATGCTATCAGGCATCGCTAGTCCGCGACAAAAACTGAAACAATCAAATTTTTTAATATGGGATTTAATCTTTTTCTTAATTGAAGAAAAGCAACTTTTAGTCTCTTTGTAAAAAGTTTCTGGACATAGTAATAACCCTTATAATGATGAAGCAGATTTACTAGCAAAAGCTGGTGCTCATGTTATTGAGCCTATTATTGTTAATCATAAATTTTTTGTTAAACAAAGTTTAGGTTTCATTTCTTGGAATCGTTTACACGTTGTAGATCGCAACGTCAGAAAATGGGCGGATAACGTCAACCAACCTTTAATATTCAATTCGATGGTCAATAATAAAGCC